ATACATTATGATCAAGTGGGATTTATTCCAAGGATGCAATATTTGCAAATCAATAAATGTGATACAGCACATAAACATATTGCAAGACAAAATCATATGATCATATCAATCAATGCAGAAAAAAGCATTTGACAAAATCCGTCACTCTTTTTTGATAAAAATTCTCAGCAAAGTGATAATAGAGGGATCAAACCTCAACATAATAAAGGCCATATATGACAAATCTATAGCCAACACCACACTCAATGGACAAAAACTAAAATCATTTCCACTAAGAACAGGAACAAGTCAAAGATGCCCTCTTTCACCATTCTTGTTCAACATAGTTCTAGAAGTCCTGGCCATAGCGATCAGACAAGAAAAAATAGAAGGCATCCAAATTGGGAAGGAAAAAATAAACTCATTATTCTCAGATGACATAGAAAACCCTAAAGATTCTATCAAAAAACTAATAGTCTTAATAAATGATTTCAGAAATGTAGCAGGATACAAAATTAACACCCAAAAATCCATAGCCTTTTTATACACCAATAGTGCACTCTCAGAAAGAGAAACTTAAAAAAAATTCCATTTACCAATGCAACAAAAAAAATTAAGTTACCTAGGAATAAACTTAACCAAGGAGGTAAAAGACCTGTTCTTTGAAAACTACATGATGTTGAAAAAAGAGATAGAGAAAGATATAAACAAATGGAAGAATGTGCCATCTTCACGCATTGGTAGAATCAACATCATTAAAATGTTCATATTCACAAAGCAATCTACAGATTCAATGCAATTGCTATTAAAATACCCATGGCATATTTCACAGACCTAGAACAAAAACTCCAAAAATGTTTATGGAATCAAAGAAGACCCCCAATAGCTGTAGCAATCTTGAAAAAGAAAAACAAAGTTGGAAGAATCACAATACCAGATACCAAGTTATACTAAAAAGCCACTGTGCTCAAAACAACCCAGTACTGGTCCAAGAACAGGCATATAGATCACTGGAACAGAACAGAGAACCCCAAAATCAACCAAAGCCACTATGCTCAATTAATATTTGACAAAGGAGGCAAGAGCATACAATGGAGCAGAGACAGTCTCTTCAATAAATGGTGTTGGGAAAATTGGACAGGTACGTGCAAAAAAAACCCACCAACTTACACCATTCATAAGAATACAGTCAAAATGGGTAAAAGACGTAACATAAGATGTGAAACCATAAAAGTCCTAGAAGAAAAATCTCAGACATGTCTCATATCAACATGTTTGCTGATACTTCTCCTAGGGCAGTGGTCGGCAAACCGTGGCTCATGAGCCACATGTGGCTCTTGGCCCCTTGAGTGTGGCTCTTCCACAAAATACCATGTGCAGGCGCGCACGTACAGTGCAATTGAAACTTCGTGGCCCATGCGCAGAAGTCGGTTTTCAGCCTGAGCAAGTCTATTTTGAAGAAGTGGCATTAGAAGAAGTGGGAGGTGTTGGTCGGTCGGGCCATGGGAGATGCGGCTCAGGCGGGCCACGGGATACGCAGCGTGGGGGAGGTGCGCGCGATTCATGCACGAGTTGAGTGAGCCAGTCAGTCAGCAGTCTCATTGTGCAGTGGTTAGTGCTAGTTGCGTCAGCAAGTTGCGTGCGGGTGACAAAAGTACCTACTCAAAATATAAAGTTACCTGTATTTTTCCAACCAGCTGCAAATCCTACAGGTATTTTTGTCGTCAATTTAAGAATTGTAATTCTTTTGTGTTGGTGGCTTTATTATTATAAAATGAAACATTTTTTTTAGGTGCCCTGTTTGACATGGCTACAAAGAAGAAGCAAAGAAAAACGAAAGACGAAAACCGTGAATTTAAAGTTGAATTTAAAGTTGAATGTACCTACCTATATAGTTTAAGTTTAAAAAATTTGGCTCTCAAAAGAAATTTCAGTCGGCGTACTGTTGATATTTGGCGCTGTTGACTAATGAGTTTGCCGACCACTGTCCTAGGGCAATGGAAACTAAGGCGAATATAAACAAATGAAACTGAATTAAAATAAAAAGCCTCTGCACTGCCAAAAACCAAACCAAACCAAAAAAAAAACACATCAACAAAATGACAAGAGAGCCCACTACATGGGAGAACATATTTGCCAATGATTGATCCAATAAGGGGTTAATCTCCAAAAAATATAGGGAACTCATACAACTTAGCAAAAGGAAGACAAACAATCCAATTTAAAAAATGGGCAAAGGACCTAAATTGATACTTCTCCAAAGTGAACATATAGAAAGCCAAGAGACATATGAAAAAACTAGTGGCCCAGTGCACGAAATTCATGCATGAATCAATCATTGGCAAATATGTTCTCCCATGTAGTGGGCTTTTTATCCACTCATCTGCTGTTTTCCACACTGGATGCATCAACAAATCAACAGACTGTTGAACCTCAGAGGGAAGGCAGGGGAGGGTGGGTGGGAAGAGATCAACCAATGAACTTGTATGCATATATGCATAACCTGTGGACACAGAATGGGGTGGTGAGGGCTTGGGAGGAGGGGGATGGGAGCGGACTGGAAGAGGTTAGTGGGGGCAAAAGAAGGACTTATGTAGTACTTTCAACAATAAAGATTTAAAAAATAAATACAAAAAAGAAAAACATCTTTTTTTTCTTTTTAAACTTTCTAAAGTTGGCATGATAGAAGTGCTTAGTCCAGGGGTGGGCAAACTTTTTGACTCGAGGGCCACAATGGGTTCTTAAACTGGACCGGAGGGCCGGAACAAAAGCATGGATGGAGTGTTTGTGTGAACTAATATAAATTCAAAGTAAACTTCATTACATAAAAGGGTACGGTCTTTTTTTTTGTTTGTTTTATTCATTTCAAACGGGCCGGATCCGTCCCGCGGGCCGTAGTTTGCCCACGGCTGGCTTAGTCCCTTAGTTGTAAATGAATATTTCAATAGCTTTGTTGGTAACTTTTAAAATAAGTTTCCTTCACATTTTCTAGGTTACTCTTCAATTTATAAGCTGCTCTTCTCCCCTTCTGGTTCCCTCACTTCCTCTGGTTTCGTGCTCTAATTATTCTCCCTCTCTTGCTTCTTCATTCTTTTTCTCCACTAGTTCCTTTTCATTGAAGAGCAAAAATGCTCAAACTTTATTTTGTTTATTTTATTAAAACAACTCTCCCACCCCTTATCCCCACTAAAAATATCGTCCTGCTCTTTTCTTCTCTATTGTCTGTTCAAACTAGGAGCATTATCTTCGCAGTCATTTCAATCCAACCAAGCTCCATCACATGTAAACTATGACCTGAGGGACATTTCTTAACTTTCCTATCTTGCCATCTTTATTCATAAAATGAGAATAATAATAGTATCCACCTCGTGGGTTTGATGTAAGGAAAAAATGGTAATAACTGAGTTAATATACATAAAGCTTTTAGTATAGTATTTGGAACACAATAATTCAGTAAATTTCAGGTGATTTTATATTATTCACCAATAAATCCTCCAAAATAATTTATAATCCTTACTCTTTACTTTCTCATTCCTTCTTTAACAAGTATCTCTTTGTACCTTCATAACATAAGTACATTCTCCTGTGGCTTTTACATCAAATCCTGTGGCTTTTGCTCAGTCCTTTCTCTACCCATTAATCGCATTGCGTATCATTAACTCTTCTAGAGATTTCCCTTGTTCGATTTTTCTTTCATCACTTTTACTGTCCTCATTTGTCTCCTTTCCCCCCTTTATTGTCCTCTTGTTCTCTCCTTTACTTTTTTCTTCTATCCCCTAATTTTTGTTCTTCTCCATTCTGTGGTTTGTCCTCTTCTTTTTCTCCATTCTCTTCCTTGGTAATTACAACCCTCTTTACTATCACTGTCCAGAGCCTTTCTCCTGAGTCCAACTTTCTCATATATATTAGGGGGGTCCCTTAACACCACAAAGAGAGTATAAACACAACTAAACACTCTTCATTTCCATCTAAACCAGGTCTTATTCTGGACGTTTTTATTTCTATTAATGGTAGAACCGTATTCAAAATCTCAGTCATCTCCGGACTTTTCCTTTGTCCCTTACATCTTAAACAATTGGAAGTGCAGAATGTTCCCAGGATGATTACCTTTTGCAGAACTAAATGTAGCTTTGATTGACTGTTGCTAAATTTTTGCTGTCCACATTAACATTTCTTTAAATTTTCTTACAAGTTTGTTATTCCATTCTTTCAAGGGAAACTTTATTATCCACGATCCTTTCCCACCCCACCTAAGACTCCTAATTTGCCCCTCCAGGCCCTTTGTGTTGTTCACCTGGCTGGCCTATCCAGCTTTATCATCTATTGCCCGTTATTTATTCCTCCACGCACTTGTTCCCCATTCAAACCAATTTCCTATATAAGCATCCACGTCTTTTCTTATGCTTTCTTCATCTAAAATGCGTAGATATATTTTAAAGACTTTTACTAATGTGTCAGACATAGATATATAGCATTTTAAAATATAGCTTTCCTGACATGAAATTTTAATTAAAATATTTCTAACTCAGATCTTCCTTTAAAAAATCAGTTTAGATATTAATAAGGTAACAAACTATGATCTTAATAAACTAATTTAATCTTTAAATAAATATCATGTTACGTTTACAAGAATATGAAGTGTCTCTAAGAAGCTTGAGGGATCCAATCTGCCTTCATTACTATTTCTCTGATTTAAATGTAATTATTGTCTTGAATGAGACCTTTCAAATATTTTTTCTTATGTAGATATCCAGAAATTCTTTAGTGTTGAGTATACAAATCTAATATGAAATAAGTAATGTTATACTCTAACGTAATGGCACGTATCAAACATACAGTACTCATATAATAAACTTTTCTCCTGATCAAATGCTGCTGTTTTCTGCCTTCCATTTTTTACTGTATTTTAAAGTGTGTATTATATGAGCTTTTTGTATTTTATATAGGTTTCTTTTATTCTCACTGAGAGTGACTAGGGAGATTGCATTTCTAATTTTTCCTTCTTTTTTTTCTTTACCCAGGGCTTTTTTCTTACCGTTTCACCAGAGTCGGTGTTAAAAGTGGCTCAGCATGCTTCTGCGAACAACAGAATTTTCACTTTGAACTTGTCTGCACCATTTATTAGTCAGTTCTACAAGGAACCATTGATGAAAATTATGCCTTACGTTGACATACTTTTTGGAAATGAGACAGTGAGTTACTCGTTTTCCTTTTTTTAAGTGCCTGTGCTTTTTGGTATCTGGTTTGTGTATAAGTTTAGAAATTATATAAATAAAAACCAAAACATTTACATACATATATTTGAGAATTATACAATAGAACTGCCTAAGTTTGGAACATTAATTCGGTATTTCCAGTATTTCCTTCAGTATATGTTAATTTCTTACATAGTAAAAAAAACCTCTTTTTAAAGGGGTAGGTTATTGAAGTTTATAATTTACATATAGTAAAATTCACTCTTTTTACCATACATTTCTATGAGCTTTTGCAAATGCAATAAACCTGACATATAACCATGACCACAGTCAAGATAAAAACCACTTTCATCACTACCCATTTTAGTCAATCCTTCTCCCCATCCTGAGCCCTTGACATAAACTAATTTGTTTTCTGACCAGTAAAATAATGTTTTCCTCTGAAATTTTCATGAACTAAGGTAAGAGACATCTAGTTTAAAATAAATGTTTTATGAAGTTAAGTAGCTCTTCAAAGTGTGACTCTATCTAATTTAATAAATTATGAGTAAATGTTTATATGTTATAATTTGTATTAAATCTCTTTATTAATAGTATCATTTTTGCTAATATTTATATGTTATATTTGATGGTGATGAATGGAATTGTATTTGAACTTTTGCAGCCTTTTCTTTTTATCAAGAATATACTTTAATTCTAAATTAGTGGAAAATAATTTTTTCTCCTTTAGATTTAGAGCTTTTGTCTAACCTGTATACTTTAATAATCCAGGAAATAGGGAAAAAAGAGAACTTTAGTGTATCTTCATTTGACCTGGGCAGTATTACTTAATTTCATGAATCTTGGGGTCTTTATATGTAAAGTAAACATGTTCTTAATTATACCAGAAGTCTATTCTAATTCTAATTCCATGGTTCTAACATAGTTTGGTTGTATTCACTAATTTTGTATCTAAATGAGATCACTGTGTTGTCTTCCTAGAATAACATCAAATTTAACCTGGAAATAATTAATGAAATCAACCTGGATGATTTCTAGTAAGAATATGGTATGAATATCTTTAAAAGCACTAACAAGTCAAAGGAAATGCTACATTCTTGATGATTTACAAACTAACTTAATGGCAAGAAGTAATGGTAAAAGCTTTAAATCCCTATGTATCTCCTAGAAGTCTCACTTGACTAAAATATATCTTTTAGATTTTCCTTATTGCCAGTTTTATTTTCTGAAGGGTACAGGAAGTAACTAGGAAAAGCGCTACTCTAGCCCTTTAAATAACATAAAAGAATTGGTCATCAATATGGTAGTCTGAGAATTTGGGGAGAAATTGATGCTCTGACTTCTTTTTTTTTTCTGAATTCTTTTTCTTTTTTTTATTGCTTTCAGAGAGGAAGGGAGAGGAAGAGCGAGATAGAAACATCAATGATGAGAGAGAATCATTCATTGGCTGCCTCCTGCACGCCCCCTACTGGGGATCGAGCTGGCAACCCTGGGCATGTGCCCTTGACCGGAATCAAACCTGGGACCCTTTGGTCTGCAGGCCGACGCTCTATCCACTGAGCCAGACCAGCTCTTTATAGTCAGAAAAGATCAGACTGGCAATACTTAAATAGATGCTCTAGACTAGAGTCTAGACTTTAAGAAGACAAACTTGTAAAAACCTTTTAAAAAGATAAATATGATTCCAAAGAATCAGACTTCAGATGTAAAGACAACTTGAGAGGTTTGAAAACAATCAAAAATTCAACTCTGACTTTATAATCTCAAATGACCTTAATTAGGAAGAAAATGGGAGGAATCTTAAGAAAACAATACAGAGCACACAGAAAACTTTAAGAAGAGCTTCCATTTATTAAACACAGGTAAAAAAAAAAAAAAAGAAAAGAAAAGATAGAAAGCATTTCTAAAACCAGGAAACAGTGCTAAAAGTTTGACAGAGATATATGAAAATAGAAAAGAATAGAAGCCCCAAAATGATTAGGTTTGCAGAAAATGCTGATGATATAAAAATGGTCTTTACTTTAAAAAAAAAAAAAAAGACTCCAAATGCACAGACAACAACAGAAAAAGTAATTGGACTTCATCAAAATTAAAATGTTTGTGCATCAGAAGACACTTCCTTTTTATGTCTATATATTTTTATTTATTTCAGGAGGGAAGGAAGAGAGAGAGAAAAAGAGAAAAACATCAATGGTGAGAGAGAATCATTCATCGGCTGCCTCCTGCACGCACCCGACTGGGGATTGAGCCCACAACCCAGGCATTTGTCCTGACCGTGACCTCCTAGTTCATAGGTGATAATGCTGTACCACTGAGCCACACCAGCTGGGCAAAGGACATTTTTAAGAAAGTGAAAAAGACAATCCATGGAATGGAAGGAAAGATTAATAAATAATACATCTGATAAGGAATTAATATCCAGAACATATGTCTTAACAACAAGAAAATAACCCAATTCCAAAATGATCAAAGAACTTAGTAAACATTTCTCCAAAGAAGATATCTAGCAAGCACATAAAAGATGCTCACCATCACTAATCATTAGAGATATGTATATGAAAGCCAAAATAAGATACCACTTGGCACCCAGGAGGATGACTAGTACCAAAAATATTGAAAAATAAATGTTAACAGGATATGTAGAAATTAGAACCCTTGTGCATTGATGGTGGGAATTGAAAGGCTGCAGGAAAACAATTTAGTGGTTCCTCAAAAAGTTAAACATAGATTTATTCCATTTGATCCAGCCATTCCATTTCTACTTTATACCCCAAATACCTGAAAACAGGGGTTCAAATACTAATGTTTATGGCAGCATTATTCACAATAGTCAAAAGTTAGAAACAGTTCAAATGTTGTTCCTCATTAGATGAATAAACAAAATTTGGTATATACAGTTGATTCTTGAGCAACATGGGTTTGAACTGTGCAGGTCCACTTATATACAGGGGTTTTTTTTTCAATAAATATGAACAGTGCTGCAAATGTATTTCGTCTTATGATTTTCTTAATAGCATTTTCTTTTCTCTAGCTTCATTTATTGTAAGAATGCAGTATATAAAACATCATATACAAAATATGTGTTAATCAACTGTTAATGTTATCAGTAAAGCTTCTGGTCAACAATAGGCTATTAGTAATTTAGTTAAGTTTTGGGGAAGTCAAAAGTTATACAAAGATTTTCAACTGCATGTTATTCAAGAGTCACTGTACATACAATGGAATATATTATCTAAACTTAAAAAGGAATGTAATTGCAATACATGTTACAGCATGAACAAACCTTGAAAACATTAAGTGAAATAAGCCATAAACAAATAAACAACTATTGGATTTTCCTATGGCGAGTCTACTTATAAGTGGTACCTAGAATAGTCAAATTCATACAGACAAACAGTAGAATAATAGTTTTAGGCACTGGGGTAAAGAGGACAACAAAAGTTCTGGAAATAGATAGTAGTGATGGTTGCACAACACTGTAAATGTACTTTATGTACTGAATTTAATACTTGAAATGGTAAAATTATATATATATATTACCACATTAAAAAAAATGATTGATTCTACAAACCAGAAAAGTTAAAGTTTGACTGGAACTTAGTATAGATTATATTAGAACTCATTTTTCCCTACCCAGAAGAGAAAGTGATAAAATTATAAGCTGCTACATGGCTACAAGTCATGTATGTTTAATTTTTTGGTGTGATTAGTATTCATATGAATTCATTTCAACAGATACATAGTGCTTATTTTGGCAGACCAATAAACAGTGGGTGTATAATATATTTGAGACAATCTGTCATAATATGGGTTATAGAATAATAAATATTGGATATAGGGCAATTAGATATATTTGGTGTTTTGTTGAACTAGTTTCAGAAAGCCTGCTGATAAATAGATTTTTAGTAATATGCCATCCCATGGCCAGCTGGGTGGTCAGTGTGCTTCCACAGTCAACCTCCCGTGGCCGGCCAACCTCCCACAGTACCTCCCACCGGCCAGCCGGCCCCTATCGGCCCCAATTGGGCCAGGCGAGATGGCCCCAATCAGCCCAATCGCTGGCCAGGCCGAGGTACCCCACCTGTGCACGAATTCGTGCACCAGGCCTCTAGTTCAAATATAATTGACAGCCCTTATGTAATGGACAAATTCCTTGTAAAACATAAAGTACCAAAGACACTCACATAGAAATAGGGCTATTTGGATTATGTATCAAAGAAATTGAATTTTTAGTTAAAACCATTCCCACAAAGAAAACTCAAGGGCCAGATTACTTCAATGTTGAATTCTACCACTTATTTAAGGAAGAAATAATACCAGTTCTATATGAGTTATCCCACAAAGTTGAAGAGGAAAAAACACTGCCCAAAACAAAGAATTAAAAGAGAACTGCCTTAGCAGGTGTTTATCAGTGGTTAGAGCATCAGCCCATGGTTCCCAGGGTCAAGGGCACATACCTGTGTTGCAGGTTTAATTCTCAGCCCCAGTAGGGACTGTGCAGGAGTCAACTAATCAATGTGTCTCTCTCACATAGATCCTTTCTTTCTCTCCCTCTTTCCCTCTCTCCCTCTCTCCCCTCTCCCTCTCCCTCTCTCTCTTCCCCCTTCCTTCCACTCTGTAAAAATCAATGGAAAAAATATCCTTGGGTGAGGATTAACAAACACACACAAAAAAAACTTCTGACCCATATCCCTCATAAATATAGATGCAAAAATTCTTAAGATAATTTTAGCAAATCAAACCCAACAATATATAAAAAGAATAATGCAGGGTTGGTTAAACATTTAAAAACCAATTATTATAATTCTCCTTAGTAAAAAAATATGCTCAGCTTAATAGACAGAAAAAACATCTAACAAAATCCAATATCTATTTTCAGGGTGATAAAACCCTCAAAATACTAGGAATAGAAGAGAACTTGTTTAACCCTATAAAAAACATCCACAAAAATTGTACAGCTAACATTTTACTGAATGATGAACGACTGAATAGTTTCC